TGGCAGTAATGCGTATGGTTAATATAGCACCATGGAAACACAGTAAATAGCAGCGTACATACCATTCATACCCAAAGGACGATAGTTAGAGTCTCTTCTACACTTCAGTCATGTTCACAACCACTAAAGCACTCTATTTATTGAAAAGTTATTTTTATTTATCGGCTCGGCTGCGTGCGGCGCAGTGGTCGAAGGCGCTCCGCAACACATACATAGAATCGATCCCCGCGCCGATGGTCTACCAAGCCTTCCATCCCTCCGGAGTCGGCAGATTGGTACCAGACTTGTCTGGGAGGATAGCAGTACTAGCTCGACACATCGGTAGGCCACCGCTAGTGTAAAGGCCTGATATGTATTCAATCACCCCCAAACGATGCTTAGTGAAGTCGAATGCATGGCGCATCTCTGAGGGATTAGCCACCGAGAGCTTTATCCTTTTATGGTACAGGCAAAGCAGAAAGTTCGCAGTGGACGAAAAATTGCTCGTATTCCACATGGGAGAGCCATGGTAAAAGACGTACGTCCGTTGTGGGTTAAGTGATGAGCATGGGTGCGAGTGTATTAAAAGTACATTCGCCGCAGGTTATGACTTGAATATCTGTGAACTTAGCGATCCAACATCTGTTTTTTCATTGATAAACCAAAGCTACCGCTCTAGGTGTGTAAGAACGTCATTACTCAGCTTTAACTCGATGCATAATTTGTAATCGCCAGTTCGGTGAGTACTATATGACTCGTGCCGTCGACTCAACCAATAATTTCTCATATTCTCACACATTAGTTATCCTTTGAGATCTTCTACATACTTCTAAATGTTATTTAATGCTTCTGGAAGGTTTTTATCTCTTGTGTAATGAAAAAAGGACTTTCATCATTCAAACGACGTCCTGCTTTTTTTGGTAGCCAGTTTCAGAATACATATAAAGTATATTTAGGCATTTTTAATAGCTTCTAAATCTACACATCTAATAAGATAACTCATCATAGCAACTGCAAATGGAAGAGGAAGCAATATTTTCAAAGTTCCAACATTGTTGGTATAGACACCAGAGAGACCAGAGTCCTACCGTACAACGGTTCGAAGAACATTCTAGAAGATCCGCATAGAGCGTACGTAAAGCACCTGGCTGCTTGAGAAATTGCGCTTTATTCATCATATTATATACGTGTTCATGCGGACCTAACGTTCTTCATCATTTAAGAAGCGTTCTGTTCACTGTACTTGTTTTTCATTGGGTATGAGTCTCGCTGATGAGGGTTGAATTCTATCGGTTTCTTCGCTTCTGTGATCTGCCATCTTATCCTGGTAAGAAGGCGTCCGTAAAGGTTGAACCTTACGAAAAGTACAACAAAAGGCTCTCCGGTATCACGAGACCTATAATCTCCCACCGTGAGATTCAAATCGGGGAGCGAATTCATCCGGGAAGCGGTCTTTTGCATTTTTTTTCAGAGTGTGGCTCTTATCGCTCTACTGTAGGCAGATTCTCGGCGTTGAAGAAGCTATTGGTTTAATTCAAAATTCGGAAAAAGACCGTGCGGAAAAGTTGAGAACTAGTAAAAAAGAGTGAGGCGTATATGACTCAAGTAGGCAACAGTAGGGTAACTGTGTTCTTCTAAACGGACAAACGTTAGCTTCAGGTATACTGGATGTTCTGTGTAAAAATCTTGCAGGAAAGCTCTCCGTTGTGCCTTCTCTCATTGGCAAGCTAACATGAGGTTGTTACCAACATTTGGCAAAGGTTTCGACGTCTCCGTCTTCCACAGAGCCCTCCGTTGTGTTTGCCATATTCGGATCATTTCGTTGGAGTTTCTGTTCATACAGTGTACCATCATTAGAACAACACCTTATTTTCATTTCTTTTCGGTCCTTCGTTTACAAACAGTTATCAGACTACTTAAGTGGTTACTTGGACGGCCCGTCTTCACTGGTTGTGCGTACTCCAGCATAATTTCTCTTCTTTCGGAGTTTTGATAGCTTAGCTACTGTGGTTCCGTGGAGTCCTGACATCAGCCTGGCCAAAGTCTGCCCCAGGTGCTCACCATCATAAGCAGTCGCCGTCCTTGTGGATCAGTGGAGGATTTGCCACTTTGCGACTAGCTTGGTACTTGGTCAGTGGTGGATCCTGGTATTGATTTATTCTTAGCTGGCCTTCCTGATGGAAACGCGGAATTCTCAGCTTGGGAGGCTCTGCTGAGGAGTGAATCTCCCTGCTGTCACAGAAGAGTTATTAGAATGAGAACAAGGCATTAAATGGAAGAATATTTCCCAAGAAAAACAAACACCACATATTATAAAATAATGGTCCTACATTTGAAGCTGTTAAGTCAACCTACAGTTCCACTGAGCTTTTTGATAGAGTTGTGGTCGGTTTTCTCACTGTTTTATTTGTTGATAACTTTTTCGCTCGTAAATGTTATACATGCTAGGTTAACAAATTGTTTTAGGACATCAATGATGCTGAGATATTTGCAAAACTCTGGACCGCGTACACCTGCGGTCCGGAGTTTTGCAAATATCTCAGCATCATTGAAGTTATATTTCACAACGTATACCCTGCCGTTGAAAAGAATAGGCAGTAAATAATACTTTAAATTGTTTTAGGACAATTTTTCTCGAACAGCATAAATCATGTTACCTTACATCACTTTTTTGGAACAATCTTCAAATCGTAGCACTAAATGCCGCGTAGGGTTAAGTAGGTCGAAGTAATTATCCTTTAACAGTTTGGTGTTTATTTCAGATGAGGTGAACATGGAATTTTTCCGTGAAGTGTTAGTGAATGTAATCCGTGAAACCGATCTCGACATTGCTCGTCTAAAAAACCGAAAAGATATGTTCCAGCAACTATATGTTCAATATTTCGGTACAGGACCAGATGGATCGATAACCGATGATGGGGAAGGTTAGATTGTTAGATTTAAACGTTCTTTCTTTTTTTTACTACGCGAGATGTGTTTGAGAGTACCAGACGCAAACTGTTTGCAAACCATGGTGCGTGATTCTATAAGACTATCTGTCCATTTCAACTCCTAATTTAGTGTGGGTGGCGCGTAATACGACCTCTAATTCCTCATTGCACTCACTCTGAATTGAGATCATTTCTTGTCGACCGATCTGCTCTTTGTGCCACTTGATCGCCATAAGAGGGAGGCCTCCCCGCTGGACCTAATGTAAGACACGAAAAGTCCTGTACCCTACTCACCGCCTTCTTCACCAACTTGAACAAACTCATCCAAAAGCAGTTAGTTCTGTTTATTACTAGATTGAGAGAATAGCTTTCCTGGGCCAACTCCCATTACGAAATCTACATTGGGTGAGCGAATGAGCTACAGAGAAGGTACATTGTAAACTTCAGTATGGTGAAATTAACGATTCAAATGATAGTGGGTTGATATCAGTTCGTGTCTACCGATCTGCTTCTCACGTATGAGTGAGCTTTACCTCGTAACACCACTGCGGACAGATATTATTTAAGATCCAGTCGCTTTTCTGATTCAACTTGAAAGAACAGTTTTTGCTAATTATGTAGTGGTATATGTCCAACGTTATATTTCTCAGGCCGGAAATCGAAAGTAAATTTTCCATCCTCAACAATTTTTCTCATTCACATTGATTTCAATCCATTTCATTGTGGCCGGAACTATGCATTATTGTTTGCTTGGTATTTTAGGAATGGTGAAGCTTCATAAAGTTGTGACTCGCCTAGTATTCGAAGTGCTTCGAGGGGAAAACTGTTTCTTCATTGGTTGAAATTGGTTACAAAATTCGTACGTTTAGGCCACATTCCTTCGCTAACACGCAAACTTGGTTCGAAGTTCTTACGTCGGATAACGAATCGTATTGTAAAATCTAATGACCTGTTCAGTCATTTCGATCGCCTTGCTGAGAACAGAAAGAGACGTGAGACCAACCAGATGAAAGAAGAACGGTAAGTGTACACGTTCTTCTAGGCTGAGTTATGTAATCGTCCTTCTAGGCTGGGCTATGTAATGTACCTGCTGTCTTAGAAAATAATATTGGCATGCGTTATTATACATTTTGCATCCCTGTTTTTTTATGCCTACGTTTGGTCAGTGTTGATTAGAAGTCCACAACTGTGATGTTCAAACCAAATATCATTTCTGAATTTAATTACGCTGTAGTACCTGATCTGTTCTATACTGTAAACGGCAAAGCTCCCGATCTCATTCAATCCCTTAGGGAAGCGAAATGCATTCAACTTCTTTAAGCATCGTAGGTTTCGTTAGATGCATATTTGATCTGTGCAAGGACTTATTATAGCTTTTGTAATATATGTGTATGTCTTGTCCATTATATGTCCAGTATATGAAGTCAGTCTTTTTATCCTTGCCGATTAGTTTGATACAAATTTGCATTTTCGGGGAATGTAGACTTTGGTTGGGTCGGAGCGCGGGATCCATCCAACCACCACATGTAGGCACCTCAAACTGTCGTTAATACGTACTTTAACCCATATTACATTGTATTATTATTCGCTCATGAGTCGATCTTTTTTAGTTCGTTTGTAATCACGAATGTCTTGTTTGATTGAAAAGTTAACATTTATTCTATTTTTAAGTACTGTATTCTTGTCCCTACAAATACAAGTAGAGGTCAAAATGGATCCTCATTTAGTGGAGGTCTTTTTAGCTTCAATTCTAAACGTGCTCGTTATGAAGATGATGACGATTGGACCGACACAGAAGCCTGCGATCCATCCGGACACATCGAGCGAACCAGTAAAGGTAAAGGTAATCCCTGTCAATTTAGGGTTTTGGCACAAAACGTGTGAGAATCATGTCGTTCGAATAAGGAGAGCGTCTGAAAATCTCCGGCATTCGGATTGCTCGAAATTAAGACATAGTGGTACTCTCGTGAGTAAGTTAATAGTTAAAAAGCTTTCAGATCATACAGATAGTACAAGTGAATATAGCTTTCAAAAATGTACTACCAGGAAGGTGGATAAATACCGAGAGTACTGCTCAAAAGACTATTTGATTCTTTTCTTAATTTAGTTCTAACTTATCCCTACATCTCTCAAATGGAAGAGGAACGTATACTGAGTTCCGCAAACGGTTCTGCATCGTCATATGCTCAAAATCTTGCTAAAGTGTTATTTGCCAATACCCTTGACCTCTATTTTAAGGTGAATTCGCCATCTAGTTTTTTTCTTTGATTTATGATACCGTGATTTCTGATACGAAGGCGGTGTGTTCTAATGGCTTCTATCTGCTACGAAATTTGAAGGACTTAAGTTTAAGGACCAAGATCCTGGCAAGCGACAGTGGATACATAAAGCCGTCGATTTCCGTTTTCCATCTAAGGATCGGAGTGCTCAGCTGATGAAGTGGAAAAATTGTTCATCGGCTATCAACAAGAATATGCGCATGTCTGAGCGTGGTCCGGGTGAAAAGCCTAGGCAGAAAGAAAGTAAGCCTTATTCTGACTGTTAAGAGGAAAAAAGTGCTATTTTCTACATTAGAGTACTTAACACTTCTTCAACCTTATGCCATGTTTCATTGTTTCATCTTTATCTATCTTTCGGTCCAAAAGATGTTTCGTTATTAGTCAATAATCCTTAAAGGGGATTAACCATGAAACGTCAGCCAATTTCATGCCGTCATTCATACATGAATGGCTTTCCATGGCTTTAGCTATGGCATGGAGTCTGTTGTTTTCGGTCCCAATTGATTCAGCCTATGTCACTAAAACGTGAATTATCCATGTAATTTCGAGAAAGCCGTGGTGTGGCACTCTGAGGTGTCCACCACAGACGTTCTCCAGTCCTCACTCGTCTCCTCTTTAATCATCACTGGTCAAGTAACTCTACCAAGCACTAGTAAAGTTCTCGGGAATGTCCCGCGTTAAAGGCACCTAAAGGGACTTGGTGCACCAAGAGCCGTTAATTTTTGGTACGAGGCCCTTAATATCCAGCCACAAAATGTAATTCACCGAGCTTTTCCGTGGACTAGGTTTTCTTAGGTGGTTGCTTAAATGGGAATTTCGAGGTTCATCTTAGTACGAATGACCGTGGTTCATGGGAAGAATCAACCGCTGCAGCACAGTTCGACAGTACGTAACACTGTTCACCTTCGTTCAAGCGCTCTTTTAGGTGCCCAATGAACGACTACTATAGTTACGTTTGAGTATGCTCGAGGTTAAAAAATAATGTACTGGAGAATGCTTAAATTTCCGACCATGCGAATCGATTTGAGAGCAAGTATACCCCAAAATAATTGTGTTTTTGAAGTTCAAGTAGTCAGATGTCAGCTGATAGTAAACTTTTCCATTTGGAAGAGAACTGGTCGAAATCTACAAGCCTTAGCCAATGATGGAGAAACTTCGTTATTCTATCGAGGTGGAATCTTGGTCCTATGGAACTCAAAAATCATTCTTTTTCGAAATTTTTCTCGTCAGGGCTCTTATGTCGAGCATTAAAGCGATTGGATTGATGTCCAGCTGAGCTGATGGCGTCACCAAATGCGGAGTTGGTATTTGTTACTGGCACATTCATATAGAAGTCTTTGATGAAATTAGAAATTGGAACAACACTTTAGAAGAAATTGTGTACATGCTTAGAGTGACAGAGCAAAACCTCTTCCTCAAGTATGTGGTGTTTCTAATTCCTCATTTGCTCTAGTTATCAAAAGTTTACCAACGGTAGTTGAAAGTTGAGAACCGTTGATAATAAGTTAAGGATCAGTTAGCCCCAATGGTTTATCAGTGTTGAAGAAAGAGAGAGAGTCCTTGTTCAACAAACCCTTGAAGGCACGAATTTGTTAAATTATTCGCTCATCATCAAAGTCGCTAAAGAAATAGACCTTAGAGGATTTTTCTGGATCTGTTTAGTTGAGGTCGTTCAAGCCAAACAAAATTTTCTCATTTATGTTCGAATGCGTTTTGAATTGAGCGTAATTGTTTTTTTTTGTTGTCTTTCTATCACCTGCTTTTTTTTTTCCTCGCAGTTCTATTCCATTTGCACTTCTCTCCTCTTCTGTGCTTCATCCTTTTTAAGAGGAATTATCACTAATTAACTGCTGAAGTTAATCAACGATTTCAAATTAGAGAAAGACATTTAGTTGATTGTAAGTACGTATCTGCGGAATATGAAGAAGAGTGTTATCAGAAAGCACAAAAGGATCCAGTGAAATATGCGGAGTTCTTATCTTTGAAACTTTTCGAAGGGTCATGGGACAAGTACTTCAAAGATCAGGTAAGTGAACATAATGTTAAGCACTTGCAGTAATTCTCAAGACCAACTTTCTGTTATGCTCGATAGTGATTAATAGTTCGCTATTCCGTTGATAAGGGCAGACAAGGTTGTACTCTATTCACGAAAACCGACGATTCGGCCGATTTCCCGCTCTTCATATCCTGAAAAGTTCAAGTCCGACTGCAATCTAGTCAGCTAAATACCTCCATAATCTCAACAGAAAAACTATGAAACTTAGATTCTTATCGCATTGGAAAGAAGATAACTTCTTCACACACTCAGTGTTTTTCATGAGTCTTACGCTGAATATTCCACAAAGAGACCAACCATACAGAATTCACATAAGTGGGTAGTGCGACTTTCTCACATTAAAATAAATTTATTTCTGAGGATAGGCACTTTTGCTCCAAGATCTTCCCCATTATGTGTGTCTCCAATACGCACCTAATGGAGTATTTGGTTAAACTTTAAGTTTACCAACTAAATGTGCTTTTACACAGACGCACAGCGATCTGTCCGTTTGGCCAATGTATTCATTCCCTCACCCTTCACAGGAGATGAGGCACACCATATCCGAACTCTTGCAATCACCATCTCCACTGTGAGGACAAATTTTGCAATTTTGTTTTGTACATATATGGTCATACATCCAGTTAGGATCTAGGTGATTTCTGAGAGTGTTCTCTGGTGTTTCTATCGCTGTTACCGAATTCTCTAGACCGCCTGTTTTTAAGCAACTCTTTACAGTTGTAACTACTCCGTTTGGAATGAAGGGCAGGATGATTTTTAAGTAGAAATCACCATTTTCGCACAGTAATCTTTGCAATGTAATAGAGGCGTGGTACCCATCCATGTGAACTCTGTACTAGTCTCCGTGTGGAATACTCAGTAGAAGATTCATGTAAAGTTGTGAGTGTGTGAGGAAGCTATTTTGTTTCCAGTGCAGCTGAAATCCAGCTTTCATAGTTTTTCTGTTGGGGTTACAGAGAATTTGGACTGACCTTATTGCAGTCAACTTGAACTTACCAGGCTATGAAAAAGGCCTGAGAAACGTTAGTTTTTGTAAATAAAGAGTACGGTAGCTAGTTCAATTGTGCTTGTCAAGGAAATCATGAGTGATGTTATTAAGCGTATTGACATAGTTAAGGACTTCCGTATAGCGGTCGTAATTGGTTCCAGAAAGTACTACAAAACTCTATTGATTTTTTCATAGTAATCCTTGTTTGCCCTAACCTCGTTTATCCGCGTTTTTCAAATTGGGTACTTTTATGTGTATTCATTCGTATTATAAATTAGTACTTTTTTTCTACAATTTTGCAGCTTGAGGGTTCTTAAGTTGCCAAGTCAAATGATCTTTTTCTCGCCCTTTGGAGTGTTTTTCTAGACCGTTCAATATGGAAGTAAACAGTTTTGGAAGTCTGTTAAATTGGACTTTAATTTCCGATACTAGTAAACTTGTTTTTTTTATGCCTCTATAATTTAACAGTGTGCATGCAATTCATCGTTTTATGGAAGCTGTCCCGTATTTCAGGATGTTAAGTTGAAAGATTGGTTACGTCAGTGTATAGATCGGAGGTTTCATCTCAGTGATAAGTCTAAACGTGACGCAAGATGGAAGGTGTGTGCAGCAGCCTGTAACAGAAACAGAACGAAAATCATCGGTGATGACGGGAAAGGTAGGGCTATTTGTTCTGCACATTACGATAAATTCCCATTTACATGCTAGGTTTATTGTTTCATTTATGATTTCAACTGTTTAAAGGTTAAACCCTTCAGTTTATTCATGTATTTATTTGTTGCGGGGCGCATGTAGCGCAATGGTCGGAGGTGCTCTGCAATACACACGGGATCCAGCCCCCCTCCCCCCCCCACCACCGTTTCCATCCCTTCGGGGTCCGCAAATTATCACAGTACCAAACTTGTCTGGAAGGATAGCAGCACTGGTTCGGTACGTCGACAGGCCACCGCGGATCATTCATAAAGCCAGTTATGCATTCAGTTACCTCCAACGATGTGAAATGAAGTCGAATACATGGCGCCTTGAGGATTTATCAACGCCGAGAGCTTTATCCGTTCATTTTTATCCCTTTATTTTTGTGTTGGTTTTCCTCACTAGTTTTGTATATTTTTCTATCCTTAACTGTCTTTTGGCTAGTCGCATTTCCGGTTGATGGATTCGTTTATGTTTTCAGTGTAGTATACGTTTTAGTTAATGAGTATCCCTACTTCCCCAAAGAAGAGGAGGAGGAATGCTTCCGTGCATCGAATGGCGTGCCTCATGTATATGCTGAAGCGATGGCGAAGTTACTTTTCCCTGATACTCTTCATTTATTCTTCAAGGTTTGTATTTTGGAAAGGCTGTGTGGTTAGACGTCGTAAATATTGATATTCTAACAGTTTATATGTCGACTTATCACGAGGGTGGCAGTGAAATACCCTTACTCTATTTTTCCGTCCTAGCGGTCCTATATATTAGTTATATGTTCGTATTCTTTGCTTTTTACCATAACTAAAATGAGATAATATGAAAGTGAAAACCGATAACCAGCAATTGCATCACCTTCGCCTTGCTGATGGTATTGCTGTTATAAAATTGTTTATTAGCCAACTAACCAGGTGAAATAAGTGCAGTCTGATTTCGATATCTGTAGAACTGCTCGTCTTGTTCATATCTACGTTGAGGATCCCACCCATCAATTCTTGCATTTCTTTAATTTCCCCGCATCTAATACCCACGAAACTCTTCAAACTTTTTGGTGTGTGGATTGGACAGCCGCTTTAGAACTATTCGGATCTTCTTTACGTTTGTTGTTGATTGCTCGTCGACTCGATTTTCCGCGATTTCAGGGTATTTGAGTTACAGCGTTCCTGTTTGAACTAAAGGAAGTGGGTTGGACAGGAAAGCTTGGTAATCCACCTGGGTGGGGAGTTGAACTAACTAACACCATGCTCATCATGAAATCATGAACAGCGGCATTACCACTGCGTCACCACCCTCTTCTGCAGTCTTGAAAAGACGATGTTCATGCGGAACTAATTTTTTCCTGATGCCTCATTTATCCTCGTCCTAATGGTCATCTCTGAATGCTTAAACCATGGTTGAGTGATCAACATGAAGGTCGGGTTTCGCCACAGTTGACTCGAAATGTGAACGTTTTGAGGAACATCAGGAATATAATGAAGAAAACGAAACGCTCGACTTCCTGTGCATCTTTTAATTTTGCGATTTTTCTTCCCCTAACGTACATGTCGATAAAATGGGCGTTATCTAGCTAGGATAAAAGGCTATTCAGTGTTTTCGAACAGCCAATGAAGAGCGGTACCCCGTATCACGCGTCTAAGATTGGATATTCGAAATCTCAACTTTCATCAACAATCATCATCGCCATATGGCGTCGAAATTCAAGTGAGGAGGGCATGTTATGTGTCTAGACAACGACCGGTAAAAAGAGCGTTAGCGATTGTTTCCGATACGATGTTAAGTGAAAATGAAGGATACCATTGACCCAGTGGTTAGAATTCTTCAGAAAGTTCCTGGAAGAAAAATGCGATACTCATTAGCCTCGTTGGGCAAGCTGAAGCTACTATGCTACTCTTTGACTAGAGAGGGACAGATGAAAGCCTTGCTCATGTTCGCTATAGTCAATCCACTATCCATAGAAGGGCAAGTGGTGCAAGGGGTTGGACGCCTTCTATTGAAAAGATTTGTAGGCTTGTAAATTATTCGTATGTATGATGTACCACTAATTTAATATTGTTAACATTGATCTTTACGCTTTTTCGTATTTCGAACTCTTAAAACGATAGCTTGCAGGGATTCTAAAAGTGTTTGAAACTTTAGTATGATTACGTAAACGTTAGTATTTTTTGGAGGTTCTGATTTATAGGATCAAGATGCTGGGAAGCGTAACTGGCTGCACGATATGTTGGACCATCGATTCCCAACATCCGACAAATTGCATAGAGTTGCCAAATGGAAGTCTTGTACAGTTGCGATCAATAAAAATATGATCAGTTAGTAATGTTTTTATGCTACTGATTTCATTTTTTTTTGCATTGTTTTACACACCACGAATGGAACTTAGTGGAAGTTCATGTGCAGGTCCTAGAATGGGTATTCTTCGTCCTTTATATTCCTGAACCGTTTCGTTTCGATAGGATGTTATATTAGTGATGAATAGGCACGAATTCGTACAAATCCATATGTTTCTGTATCCATGAGCTTACACGAGGTTGTTATCAAAAGTACTGTGTCATGGGTAAAGTATAGATTTGGAAACCTTCACAAATGCCCCTGTACTGGATTCTGTTCGATGGGACTGCGAATACCTACATAGCCTGAAACAAAACTTTCCAGTAACTTGTATTTTGAATTATCGCCGCTGTTAAAAAGCAGGCGAGTGCATCGAAGCTGTAGCCACAATAAAGGGTTTCTGGTCACAACGTCATGTAATCTCGTGTATACAGCAAAGTGTTGATCATTCATGGCAAAGCGAAGTGGAAGCCGCTTTTAAAACGTGTTATAAATTTGCTTCATATATTTTTGAATAATCTAATTATTCGTACAAATCTCCGCAGGTGTATGCGGTCCGGAGTTTTGCAAATATCTCAGCATCATTGAAGTTATATTTCACAATCTAATTATAATCTTGAATATGAATGTGAACAGTATAGTGAATAATCTTATAGGACCAATTGAGTCAAAAGCTTCGTCGCCTGTTGAGAAATCCTCGGAAAAAAAGGAGTCAGGAAAGGAAGATGATGAAGAGATAAAGAAGAGAGAAGAAGATGTGTCACAAAAACGTGCCTCTAGTAAAAGTCGACCAGATAAAACCATCGCTGCACCAAAGAAAAACGAGAAAGACGCCACTGAGGAACTTCCAAGGAAGGAACGAGAGAGTGGTCGACTCACTGCGCGATCGCAAACCAAAAAATGTAAGCTCTGAAAGCCTAGAGGGGTCTTTTAGACGTAGTTTGAAAGTTATTCAAATATTATCGTGGAGTGTGAAGAAAGCTAGGTACTGAGGATAATTAAATCCCAGATTTTGGAGATGTTTTGAATTCTGTGAAATCTGGTTGAGAAAACTGGTTTTCTTCTTAGGTTTCTTTCTTTTTCTTTTTTCTTCTTTTTGGAAAAGTTTTTCATGAAATCTGATGTGAAAAATTGGGTGGGGACAACGCAGTGATTAGTAATGTGAAATAGAATTTGCAAAACTTGCTATACTTCTGGGACCATGGTCAGATACGGAAGAATTTTGACACGCTGTAGTATTTTCTAAAGTGTTACGGGTAAATATTACTTTTCAGCAGAGCCTTATACTTCGTATCCTTTCGTGTCCGAGGAGGATGAAATTGAGTGCTTTGAGTCAAGCAGGAAGGATGTCGAGGTTTATGCGAGATCACTGGGTCGATTGCTATTCAAAGATACTATTAAGATGCTGTACAAGGTATAGGTCGTAGCAGTCTTATCGTAAATCATGTATGCTTTACATCCCTGTGAACTTCGAGCGAATTCACTTTAGCGCTCATCCGGAACACGTTAGTGAAAAGATTCTAGGGATTCGTGAGAGCATCATGCTTATTGTAGTAATTCATTTTTGCATCTAAACATGGACTGAAATCCAGAGGGAAATTTCTTCCTATAGAGTTAGGTGATATGAAGTTTAGGATCAGGACGAAGATCGCCGAGAATGGTTAAAGGATATTCTGAACTTCCGTTTTCCAACAAGAACAGTGGCTGAAACGAAGAGTAAGATGAGCTACGCAATCTCTGCTATAAACAGGAACGCATTATTAAACCGCTAATTAACATTTATGGACGTTGCTGTTCCAGTTGATAGTAGTTTTTATACCGCAGCAGTATAGTATAGACTTTACTGTACTATCACTGTTATCTGTTGCGTACATTTCGTAGCGCTGTTGGATTCCTGTTAGTTACGCATCAGTTGAGAGTATAAGTTAAAGGTGTCGAGTTCGTCACATACTCAGATTATTTAGTGTGGTTACAAATGATGACGTCACCTAGAGCATTACTCCGTTGTTTTTACACACGCCCTGTACATCATTCGATTAGTTAAGCGTAGATGTTTTGTACTACACATAGGGCGTAAACTATGTCGCATGCACTAATTCCCAAGGCCGACTTGGTGTTAATCTTGGCACTGATCAAATAATTCATTGTAATCCTTGCGTGTATGTACTGTATGTATGATGCATTACCCTGTTAGAATGGAGTGCGTATTACTGGGATCGTGTTCCATGTGTTCTTGTAATCCACTAGGTGGTTAACGAGACTGGGAGATTAGTGTGTTTCTCTACGTTAAGCTTTATTTTAATCAGAGCGAATTACGTCTTTCTGTTGTTTTAATGGCGGCCAAGGTTGTAGCGTGATTTATTGTATTATTCCATTATCTCGTAGGGAACGGCGCTCATAGGGCTATTGCTGGCAGGCTGTGTGAGTGATTGTTGGGATTTCAACAGAAAATCTTAGAAGCATAGTCTCTTCTTGAACATGGCTGGGTGTGTTTCCTTATTCGGTATGGTGTTTTCGCCTCTTTTCATTCCAAGTATCTCGTGTATAGAAGACGTGTTTTCTTCTCATTCTTCTTATGTAGATTTTGTACCTTAATATAAGGGCTGTGCTGTTTTGAATAATAATTGCACTTTGTAATAATCAGTCCTGTATCTCTCTACTAAGGAGGGCTTGTCATTATCGTTGGTATGCGTATCTCTTTATTTATCACGTAATGAATACTTCGGATTCTTTCGGAACAGTGTTGTTACTGCATGGTAAGATCGGCTCTTATATCATTTGGTGTTTAGAAGCAGTTTGCTCTGGACTATAAATTTCAAGGAAGTGGCACATTAGCCTGTTGTTTCGAAGGAGTAGGCAAATCGGTCTGCCGCGAGTCACCATCTTCCACTATTGTCGTAGTCTAAACCGTGTTCCAGTACATAGGCCCTCTGAGTTGGCTATCCATTTCGATATTGCAAAGGAAACCTACCTTCAAAGGCTTGTGAGGTGCACCAGCAAAATATCTGTTCACCTCGTGCCGTCGCGATTATTTTGTATGTGTACATCTTTTGCGGTGAAATCTGAGGCTTTGAATCGTGCTTAGAGGTTGTATTTAGTTGATAATAATCATGTGAACTTGAACGTCATATAGGTGGCTATACTTGTGCAGATCTACATCCTGGTGAGGTTGAAGTTCTTGTCGTCGTGTTCCGTTTCGCAGCGTTTACCGCCTCATCATGGTTGGGAGGTGTTCCTGGGTGTGGAAATGTAATGCATAGGGGGATTCATCTTCCCGGAAGGGTATTACGAGCTGAGGAGTTCGGCGTCTTCACCAGGAAGCCTAGCTAAGAGTAAATCAGTACCAGGATTCACCACTGTCCTTTTATCAAATTAGTCCTATGGTACCAAATCTTCCTCTGATCCACAAGAACGGAGACTGCCTGTGGTGACGACGACCTGAGGCAGACTTTGCTCAGGCTGACCTCAAGACCCCAGGGAAACACAATGAAGAACTGGAGAACCAGCAAAACTCCGAGAACTGGAGATTGTGCTGGGGTCCGCACAATCAGTGAGAACGGGTCATCCAAGTGTTTCGATGTGCAGGTCGTCTTACTGTAGGACAGTTTTTCATTTATTGCTGCATCATAAACAAAGAACATGGTACATGAAGTTCGTGGTCCTAATGACGGCTTCTAAACGATTCTGAGCAAAACATTAACGACAGCTTTAAGAAATGGAAATATCTTAGACTGATATGGTGATGAACATCAAATAAATATATGAAATGAGAAGATCCAACATTGAAGTAACCAGAAAATCTAGAATGTATCTGAAGTAGATTAGAAATAAAAATGTTCACTAAAGTAAGTGAGGATGAGTGGGACACAAGTAGAGATAAGAATCTCATTTCTTATCGACAGTTTAGGATGAGGCTCACTGAACGCAAATCCATGCCAATCAGCTGAGGACATGCCGATAGGAATGCACTTGTCATTGTCCTGAAAACTGATTCTCGCTATAGAAGAAAATAGATATACGTGTAATTTCTAGTGGGAAACCTAATTGCTCATCTGAAATCCGAGAGTAACAAGTGTTTTGGAAGGATTGAACTTCCAATGAACTGTTGACAAAGTGTAGTCCACGTATTTTTGGGTTATCCAGCCTGCATAAATTTGTTACAAATTTTCGATTTGACTAGGATTCGAGTTAGTTGTCCACGAGTGCGAAGAGCCAACTAGAAAGAATGAACAACTATGGACACTCTACTCGAATCACCACGGCTTTGAAGAAGACCACAGCGCCAAAACGTTAGCTAAATAATGATTTTAAAAAAACCATTTGTAGGCTGAACAATCCGAAAGATATTGATTACCAATGTCGAGATTAAGTGGAAGTCGGTTTAGAGAAGTGTTGGTGGCCGACTTACGTCTTTAATAAATCCCAATTGACATATGCATTTGAAACCTGGGTCTGCAATGGTGTTAACACAGTCGAACGTCACTTAAAACAATAATTATCAGTCACATTAATGTTAGCATAACGAAATATGGCAATGTCAAAAAACGTCGTTGAGGATCTCCACTACTGGTACACTTGCGAGCGGTCTTTGCAAATAAGGTCTGGAAAGGTAGTCGACGGAAGGACGAGTGAGTTCATACATACCTGGACATCTGTCCACTTCACTGCAGAGATCAGCATGAACACATGTCTCGACGTCCGAGCGATACATCAGGCCTCGACCACATGGACAGGTGATGTTCCAATGATTTTTGCGCATCGCTGGGAAGTTGTCGTTAAATTCGTGCTGAAACAAATGATATGAAGTCTTATGGTATTCGAAAGACCGACTTTCTATGAACCTCGGCATAGATAGTTGATATATTTATTTATGTGATCTTATGAACTGATCTCCTTAAGCTGACGCGAGGTTGGTACAGATCTTCGTTGTCGTTGTCGTTGTTTTTGATGTTATTGATCGATGGCTAACGTATTAATTAATTAAAGCATTAATACTTTAACCTTCTTTTCCACCGAATAATAAAAAGTATTCTAACATAAAGTACGTCCAGGCTCTGAGGAAGGCGAAGTCGCCGAAACGTCAGCCATCGATCAATAACATCAAAAACAACGACAACGAAGATCTGTACCAACCTCGCGTCAGCTTAAGAAGATGAGTTTATAAGATCGCATAAATAAATATATCTTATGGTATTCATAGATATCCGCAGAAAGTTACTGAATCAAGATGAATTGATGTTGAAGACGACGTGACACTTTGGAACATTTTGAAAGCCCCAGTGGAAAGGATTCAACCTAGCAAAAAATTAAGGGTGATGGTTAGAATGTCCGTCTTAACGGTTTACCGCTTCATCGTGGCTGGGAGATG